TAAAATATGAAAAACCGGTGCCACAGTGCACGACAGTGCACGAGCGCGTCACACGAGAGAGAGACCCGTGGTCCCGACCCGCATGCCTCAGTCGCCCTCGTCAGCCAGCGCCCTCTCGAGCACTCGTAACCGCTCGGCCAGAGAGCCCTCTCCGCTCATCGGCGCTCGGAAGATGTACGAGCCGGCGACGAGCGCGTTGGCGCCCGCCGCCGCCGCGAGCGGGGCCGTCGCGGCGTCGATCCCTCCGTCGACCATGAGAAAGGGAAGCTGCGGGTGTGCCTTCCTCAGCGCACGGAGCCGCGCCAGCGCGTCGGCCTGGAAGGGCTGCCCGCCGATCCCAGGGTGGACGGAGAGCACGTTGACGAGGTCGACCAGGCCACCGCTCACCAGCCGCGACACCGCCTCGATCGGCGTGGTCGGCGCCAAGCAGACGCCGGCGCTGCAGCCGAGCGATCCGATCGCCGCCGCCAGCGCCGCCGCGCGCTCCTGAGCCGCCGCGCCCAGCACCTCGGCGGTCGAGGCTCCACTCTCCGCCATCGTCTCGATCTGAAAGGTGATCCGATCGGCGCCTGCAGAGGGCCAACACCTCCGCGGTGACCATCTCATGCGCCGGCTCCGGCGGATTTTGTATCAGCGGGTGCCGGCGCTCGCGCATGCCTCGACGTGGTGCTCCGGCTCCCGCACGTACAGGTGCACGTCGACGCGGAGCGAGGGAGCGGCCCGCCTCACCGCGGCGATTGACGCGGGACCGAGCGACGAGAGGCTTCGGCCGCACTCCGCCGAGCCGTCCGTCACGTCCACGTGAACCCAATGCGCCCCCGACCGGGCGAGCTCCTCGGCAGCCGCCGCGAGGTGGCCGACGTCCGCCGCGAGGAGGCTGGGCGACACAACGGCCGGACGCCCGCTGGTGGTCGTTTTACCATCGGGCGCCGCAGCACTTGACGTGCTGAGCCACAGCACGAGCAACAACATGCTTCGCGACGTGTGGCGACGAGGGCGTTCGCGCGCGACGGTGCGAAACAGCCGTGCTGCTCGCCCACCGGCAGGTGTATCTAAATACAGAACCTCGGACTCGCGAGGAGCCGAAGGAGCAGCGTGCCCAAAAAAGAATGCGCGTCGGCAGACTTGAAGGCAACCGCCCGGCTGCTCAAGCACCACGCGCGCTCCGGAGCGTGGATCGAGATCACTCCCGGCAGCCCTAGCCAGGCCCGGCGCGCTGGCCGCGACCGCGACCGCGGCCCTCACTTGAGCCCGAACTGCCCGCCGGACATGTCGGAACCGTCCGTCCGACTATAGTGACTACGAGTAGCACACCTCTGTCAAGAGTCCCCCCGAGGAGTCACACAGTCCACCTGTGTGATGCACGCCCTGTGAGCGGGGCACTGTACCTCTGTGTTCGTGTGTTGCCCATCTCTACGGGAGATGACTGCTCTATTTATTCGCCCATCTCTCCTGGAGATGTCTGCTCTATTTATTGCGCCGCGATGCGCCCCCTCCCCCCTCGCTTTTGCAAAATCCTGCAAAGGTGGGGACGTGTCTGTCCTCGACCCAGCCCTAGCTTGGGATGTCCGTTTTATTTATTTATTCAGCCTTCTTCTCGACGTCTGTCCCGGGTCGACTTTCGGAAGGGTGAGCCTGCCGAACGTGATTAATTAGAACGTGATGTCGATCTCGCACGGGCGGGGACCTGTTCCTTTTTACCCATCTCACAGTAGAGAGGTGTCCGTTTTTATTTCTTGAGCACCTGCTTCTTGCCCGCCTTCAAAGCAATCTCGCGCTCGCCGTGCTGATCCTTGATCCGCTGGCGCTTGTCCCATTTGTGTCTCGTCGTTCCCCTGACCACATCGACCCCGGCTAGTCGCCGACCATACCCACAAAGAACCCTGCACAAAGATCGCAAGGGCGGGGACCTGTTCCTTTTTACCCATCTCACAGTAGAGAGGTGTCCGTTTTTATTCGCCTTCGCGAATCCCGTCTTGCGGCTTTTGCCGGATGCCCACCGCTTGGCCTCATTGCGGGGGCGGCCACCGGGCCGTGCCGTGGCCGCCCCCGTAGCTCGCGAAGCTGCGAACCGGGCTGCGTCCACTGCGCCGCGCCGGCGCGCCGCGACCGTCGGCCCCCGGACTCGGTTCTTCGCGGCCTGCGCCGGAGAGTTGACGCTCGTGCGTCCTTGGACTTGTGCTGACCTCCTTTCACCTCCTGCTCTCCTATGCCACGTGGCTGTGTGTGTTTGGGTTTCTATGTTTGCGATTTGGATTTTGGATTTTCCATTGCACTTTGTTTATTTATTTATAAACAAGACTTGAATCAGGTGTATTATTTTTTTGCTTGGGGCGGCCAGCATGATGAAATCTGGAAAAACCTGACCGGCCCCTGCCCTGCCCCTACCTACCTAGGGTGCCCACAGGACCCAAAAGAAAACAGCTTTCCGGCTCAAAAAGGGACGCACGAGGCAAATCTGATGTTGGAGTGTTCCAATAGGAGCGAGGCCTCTTCCGTTGGGGGACCGAGTGACTAAATAAATAAATAAATAAAACGGACACCTCTCTAGTGTGAGATGGATCTTTGTGCAGGGTTCTTTGTGGGTGTGGTCGGCGACTAGCCGGGGTCGTCCTCCGACCGAGTGACTAGGAAAAGAGGGTTCCCCGGTTTGTCACGCGCGAGCGCGAGCGTGACACTGCACTTGGCGCCGAGCGCCCGCGGCTCAGACCTTGTGCAGGCCACCCCTCGGTGACCACGCCGGTCCGGACCGATGGCGCTCGGTGTGGAGCAAGCAAGACCCCCCCCCCCCCCCATCGGCGCGCGCTCGCCATTCCAACGGCCGCCAGGAGCACCAAGAGGACTCCTCATGGCTGTGGTCAAGTGGGCTTCGACCGGCCTCGGCTGGGGGGGCGGGTTGTCCCGGCTGCGGACGCCTTCTGCAGCCCCCTGGGCCCGTGACAGCACACCCCAAAACTGCCCCTCGGCGGCATACAGCACTGCCAGCCAGCCTCTTCCTCCTCCTAAGGGCTGTACTATAGGCCATATTGCGCCGCCTCCTACTGGCAGCCGGGCGGGCGCGCGCCGCGGGCGCCTCGGCGCGCGCACGGCTCGCAAAGTTCGAACGAGTACTCGCCTCGCAAGCACGCGTCGTCACTCAGCCGCGGAGAACAGGCGGTGCTGTGCGCGAAGCGCGCGCGATCTCGTACTTTAAGGCTGGATCCGGCCATTCCAAGGGTATACCTTTGAGAATCCCCAGCGTCCCACCCTCCTAGTCACACTCTCAATATCTCGACTATCCAACATGAAGTGCTGCGATCGGGAGTGCCCCATTTCGTTTTTCCTTTCTTTTTTGGGTCCTGTGGGCACCCTAACCTACCTACCACCTACCTACCCTACTTATGGGAAACTAAAAAAGAAATCACTGAGCGGGGTGAAGGTGGGGTACTATACCAACTAAAGTGATGGCTGGTGGTACTCTCCTGCAACCACAGTCCTTCCTGTGGCATGGCAGGCCACTCTCAAGGCCATACAAGCACCAGATCACCCACTTTGGGAGGGTAAAAGAAAGAAAACATACAACCCAAGGGAGGGATGGGAGGACGGCACGCCGCCACCACACAGGGATTTTAAGGAGAGGTGTGTGATGCGCTAGCCGTCGCCCACCCTAGGGAGTCTGCCACTTCCTATCTCTCTTCGCAGTCTCTCGCCGCTTGGGGAGGGTTGACATCGTGATTTCGCCGGAAAAATTCTTTTTTTTGCTGTGAAAATTCCGGCGTGAAGAGAGGGGAAAACCCGACGGGAGGGCCCAGACCTACCCTACCTACCCCGTCATGCTGGCCGCCCCAAGCAAAAAAAGAATACACCTGCTTGAATGCCGGCATTCAAGCAAGCGAGACGACGCTAGTCGGCTCCGCGACGCGGAGCGCTGCATGAAGGCCGGCAAGCCGCTCACGGTGCGCGAGGCGTCCTTCATCAGCTTGCTGATGGGACACACCGAGCGCACCGGCGCGGCCACCGTGCGCTTGGCCCGAGCCGACTCAGCAGCTCCGGCCCAACCAATCCGGCCGCCGACGGGAGGGCGAGCAAAAGGGAGAGCACGCGCATGGGCCAAAATGTCCGTTACGCATCCTTGGTGCTCTGTTTTCTTTCTTTCTTTCTTTCATCCATCCCTTGGTTTCTCGAGCTTGGTTTCGCCCTCCTTTTTATTTTTTATTTAGGGCGGGGTCGTGCACGACATGCAGCTTGCAGGCAAGCGGGTTTCTAAAAAAGGGTGGCCCGCCCCTTCGACCCCAGTTAAGTGACTCGTTCGCTTTCCACCCAAACTGTGATTTTGTGTGTATAGTGACTAGTGTGAGCTCTGCGTCTCGACTCTGCGTCTGCCCATACCGACGCATACCCGCACGAAGCACTCTCGAGGTTGCTAAGAGCATCTGACTATCCCGGATCCTGCTGAACAAGTTCCTCTTGTAGCTCGATCGGTCACACCGCCACCACCGCCGACGTCTCCCGGTGAGATGATGGAGAGCGAGAGGGGGGACGACACTGCTTTCGTTCGACTGCTTCTGCAGCGTGAGATCTCCGTGCACCCCGATCCTGTACCGTGTGTTTGTTATGAGGACCCCCCCCCCCCCCCAATGAACACTCCAGTGAGGGAGGGTGAGACGATCGAGGGGTCCCGTACCACGCGGAATCGACCCTATCCGGTGCTCAAGTGCTCAAATTGCCGGGATTAAATTCGTAAAAAGATCATCGCCCCACACCTTGATCCTTGTACAGCGCCCAATGGCAAGCAATGGGACAGCATGGCTGGCTCGGTCTCGTGCTGGCTACTGCCTGGAGACAGGGTATGAGTTCAAGCCATCTTGTTCAGTAGACGTCGCTGGTGCGCATATGCTTCCCGCCGACATCCGCAGCTGGACCAAGGCAGCGGAATTCTGCCTCGCAAAATTCGCAAGATGCAAGAATGCACGCTTTGTGACGGTGTCGATTAAGTTCAGGGACTGCTCCTGGGCCTTCCGCTGTGAGATGAAGCACGTTGGCTCAGTTGACCCCGCCTTCCGCTCGGCTCCGGTTTCTGGTAGCCGCGCCGAGGCCCATGAGATGGCCAATGGCGTTTCCATGGAGACATCTGTCGGCCGCGTGGTACTGCCGCCATATCCTTCTATTCGAGACCGCGGCTCGGTAGCTGTGCTCTACTCCGGCCGCTACCACCTCCAACGCGTGACCCAGACCTGGCCAACGCACCTGCGCCTGCTCGTGCAGCCCACCGCCGCGGCTCTCTTCGTCTTTGTGTCTCTTCCGACTGAGGGAGGGAGACTAAGCGGAAACGTAACCTGCATTGAGATTGGAGCGCAGCTTCGGCCATGGTTGGCCGGCTGTCTCGTTGGGACGACGCCCAAATCGCCACGCCCCCCCAAGGTTGGGAGTTTGCCGGGCTTGAGCCAGACACCAAAATGGCTGAACGAGAGGTACTGGGCGCAGTACGAGAATCTGCGTCAGGCGAATCAGCTGCGTCTCGACCACGAGCGTGTTCGTGGCACCCGCTACACTTTTATTGTCCGCGCGCGCCTCGACTTGTTCTTTGAGACACACGCTCCAGTCGGCCCTTTGGTGGAAGCGCAGAGCAAGTGGGTCGACAAGTCGAAGTGCTGGTTGGCCGTGGCGCTGCCCCCTGAGGTTGCGCAATGCGCAGCATGCACGCGGACGCTCAGCCATTATCAGCGTTTCGTCAGATTTTCACTCTACCCGTCGGACCATTTCATGGTCTTCACATGGCTCGCCGCCGCTGCGCTCGACTCGTTTCCTGGGAACATAATGCGCTACGCAGGTCACCGGTGCAGAAACGGTGTGCTGCATAATGCAGTAGAAGGGTGGCTTCTTCTGGAGCTGAACCTGTCGAACGTCTCGCTGAGCCTGGTCCCGCTCAGAGGCGGCGGCGCTAGGGGCAAGTACCTGTCGTTTGACAGCACACGGAACCCCGCGACCACGCACATGCTTCGCTCGACAGAGATTGCCACAGCCTGCGTGACGGACGCGGGCTGCAACCCCGACTTTGATCTTCCTCTGTGTGGAGGGTAAAACCAAAGAAGGAAACAGACCAGCACCCAAGCGCCAAGGGAGCAGGGACGTTTGGCGTGTGGTCTGTCGGGGCATGGAAAGTCGAAAATAAAGAAAGAAATGCTGCACGAGGGACCCCTTTTATGCATCGTCCTTACAAGATCCTGCTCGTGCAGGTGGGGACCCTGTCCTTCTCCCACCCCTCGTTTGGCGTGCCCGTTTTATTTATTTATTTATGTTCCGGCTCCTACCCAGATAGGGGGTCTGTTCACCACGGTGTGACACCCGATGTTAGGCTGTATCCATATTTCCTCGCGCACCCCGTCTCGTTTCCTTTCCGTGTTTCTCCACAGCACCCTCTCGTTCCCTCTCTAGTACTTGGAGCACTTGGAGTGCAGTCGGTAACCTCACATCCAGGGCCGGGGAGCTAAGGAGCGCACCCAGCGGGCCGGATGATCGGGATCGGGTTACGGGCTAGAGAGCCCTAGCCCCGGGGGTGCGCGTTCGCAGGGAAAGGGCCTTAAAGTAAACACGGGTCTCCGAGGGTTAGCTCCGCGCTCCGGGTTTCCCCTAGCAGCAGACCGCCCCCTCTACTCGGAGCTATAATGAACACCAGACATGAACACGACGCACTCTCACACGCCGTCACCGCTCAGGGCCCCTTCGCGCGGGGTCCTCATCCTTACTCCGGAGGAGGCTCCCCTCTCCTCTGAGTTCTTCCTCTTGTTCGCTGAGGAAACTCCCGTGGAAATCAGCTGGTTTGGGCCCAAAATCAGCCAAAGCGCGGCAAAATACCTGGGTATACAGGCCAAACCCTATGCAATAGGTAGGTAGGTGGGTCCGGTTTTGACCGCCCCAGAGGGCCCTACAACAGGTAGGTACCCCCTGTTTTCGTCTTTTTTCGCTTCGCTGCGCGGCCTGAGGATAGGTAGGTAGGTAGGGCGTTTTGGCGCGAGTCATGCTCATGGTACGCAGCCCCTGAGGGAGGGTGTAGAGGATGTAGAGTGTAGAGCGCTGCAGAGCTGTAGAGATGTAGAGCGCTGTGGAGCGCTGTAGAGCTGTAGAGCTCTACATCCGCCGCGTGACGAGGCGGGTGCGTTGTAGAGCGATGTAGAGCGCGATTTTGTTGTAGAGTTTGTTGTAGAGGCTCTACAGCCAAACCGCCGGGAAGGCAGTGACTCAAAGAGGTCGAGCCGCGCTAATGGGGTGTCTCCGAGCTTACTGGAGCTCTGATGGACAGCCCTGACTATCCCTGACACACAGAGAGTCACTCTGACGACACACAACACCCTACAACTGCGTCATGACCAGCCTGCCATGCGTCGCCGGTGCCGCATTCGTCGCTGTGCTTCTTTAGCAGGCGGTGGACTGTCGGCTGCGAGGACGGTCGCATTTGCGCGAGGCGAGGCGAGCATTCAGACGCGTTGCATGCGCCATGCCTCAGCGCGTGCGGGAGCTCCTGGCTGAGCGTTGAGTCCAAGCGAGTTGCGCTGGCCACTAATCGCTACGCCGAGCCGAGCTGACGCGCCGGGGCGCCGGCCAGTCGCAGCCGTGAGGCATGCCACAGCAGCAGAGGCACCTGCCACCCATTGGGCGGGCACACAGAAGGCCAGGGCAGCACTGGCAAGTGCAACGCGCCTCATGTCGGAGAGCGACCGTGCCTCGTTCGCCGCTTAATGATGTAGAGTTTGTTGTAGAGATTTCACGTTGTAGAGCGCCTCTACATCGCTCTACAACGCACGCAGTTCGTCACGCGGCGGATGTAGAGCTCTAAGAGCTCTACAGCGCTCTACAGCGCTCTCCAGCGCTCTACAGCTCTACAGCTCTACAGCGCTCTACACTCTACAGTACATCGTGAGTGAGTATTCTTGATACGAAACCACGACGACACACACCAGTCGACTTGTATCGGTTGCCTCCATGAACGGCGGAGCTATTCTCGCGCCCACACCACACCTGGCTCCAACGTGGACACGCCCATAGCTGCATAGCTGGGGGACACTATACTAGGTCATGCATGGCATCAGAAGTTTTATCTCTGGGCCCCGAAAGGCATCTCTAGCAGCGTCGTTACGCATGCGCCCTCCACACACACACACACACACACACACACTCTCTCTCTCTCTCTACATCCTCTACACCCTCCCAGTGGAAGCCCCCTATCTGGGTAGGGAGCCGGAACCCTGGGGACTGCGTCTTCCAACGGCAAAATGGCGGCAACCTGTCGGTTCTCCGACAGCCACGAGGGTGGGCACGTCCTCTTTAGCCCCGACGGGCGGCTCGTCGCCGCCGCAGCCATGTACCGACTCGTGGTTCGCGACGCGCGCACGCTCGAGATCGTGCGCGTCTTCGCGTGCGTCGACCGCATCGACATGCTCGAGTGGTCTTGCGATTCAAAGTACGTGCTGTGCGGCCTCTTCGCGCGCGGCCTCGCGCAGGTGTGGAGCGTCGACCCCGACGAGGCGGACTGGCACGCCAAGATCGACGAGGGTCCCCTCGGGCTCGCGCACGTGCGCTGGGCGCCTGATGGGCGGCATGTTCTCGCGACCTCCGACTTCCGGCTGCGCGTGACGGTCTGGTCGCTGGTCGACCGGTCCGTGTCATACCTGCAGTACCCAAAGTTCGCCAAGGAGGGGCTGTCCTTCTCTGCCGACGGCCGGCAGATGGCGCTCGCCCACCGGAGGGACGGGCGCGACTCGGTGGGCTGCTCCCTGCCTCTTTGGGGAGGGGAGGGGAGGGGGAGAGGGAGGGGAGGGTCGAGGCGGTGCTCGCCCTCCGCCCGAGCAACCGGGCCGCCCGCGGCGCGCGCAGGTGCAGCTCGTCCAGACGGAGGGCTGGGCCGTCTCCCTCCGCTTCGAGGTTGCCAGCCGCGACTTGGCCGACCTGCGGTACGCGCCGCGCGGTGACACGACCCTGTGCGTCCTCGACGGGCTGCTCGAGCCGCAGGCCCTCGTCTACCGCGAGGGGCTCCTCCTGGCCACCTGCCGGCTGCAGCCCGGCCCGGAGGGCTCCTCCCACCTCGGGCCGAAGGCGCTCAGCTGGAGCCCCGCGGCCGACCTCCTCGCGGTGTGCGGCCACGACGAGAGGGTGCGGCTGCTGCACCGCGGCTCGTGGGCGCACGTCGGCGACCTGCAGCACGGCGCCGAGCTGCTCGAGGCTTTTGCGCCCGACGCGGTCGCGTACGTGCAGGTGTCGCGCCAGGGCGGCGGCGCGGCGGCCGCCGAGGCGAGCTCGTCGGCTTGCGACACCGAGGCGGACGCGGAGGCGGCGGAGCTGGCCGAGTCGCTGGCGGAGCTGCACGCGAGCGGCGGGCGGCAGTACGTCTACGCGGCGCAGAGGCTCCCCCTCTCGCTGCCGACCGTCCGCCCCACGCCCGAGAAGCCCAACCCGAGGATGGGGGTCGGGCTGGCGACGTGGTCGGCGGGCGGCCGCTTCCTCGCGACGCGCGACGACGGGGCGCCGCGCGCGCTGTGGGTGTGGGACGGCGCGTCGCTCGGGCTGCACTCGCTCCTGCTGCAGGCGCACGCGGTGCGCGCCGCCGCGTGGCACCCCACGAGGCAGCTGCTCGCGCTGTGCACCGGCATCGGCGCCGTTGTCCTCTGGTCGCCGCGCGGGTGCCAGACGGTGCCGCTGCCCGAGGGGCGGTCCTTCCGCGTGTGCGGCCTCGCGTGGGGCGGCGGCGGCGACGCGCTCCTCCTCCTCGACAAGGACCGCTTCACCCTCGCTCACGTCCAGACCGGGACAGAGCCGGAGCCTCCCCCGCCGGCGCCGCAGCTCGACCCCGACCTGGAGGAGGAGCTCAAGCGGCTCCTCGCGGCCGAGAAAGGCGACGAGAATGCGGACGCGCAGTACGAGTACCTGCCTCCGCCGGACGGCGCCGGCGCGGAGTAAGGCTCCTCGCGGCCGAGAAAGGCGACGTGAGAATATGTGCGGACGCGCAGAGTACGAGTACCCGCCGGGCCGCGCGCCGGCCCGCCGGACGGCGCCGGCGCGGAGGCACATGACGGGCACCGCGTTGAGACTGTGCAAGAGGGTTTTCGATTACACGAATTACACGTGCTCAAGTAGCGTAGCTCAATGTTGGGCGAGATCTCGTCCGTCGTCGCACTGCACGCACACGCGTCGCGGGTTGACCAAAATAATAAACAAATGGTTCACACTCACTGCAGGCCTCGCTTTTCGAGAGCCGCGAGCCGCTTCTCACGCTCGCTCATGCCGCTCGCCTCGCCGGCGCTGCCGCCGAGCGCCTGGCCCTCGCCGGCAGCGGACCACTTGTCGCCCTGGTGAGCCACCACCAGCGCTTCGAGCGCCTCAGGGTTGGCTCCGCGGCACGAACCGACCTCTTTCTTGTCGCGGAAGGCCTTGAAAGTTGGCATCGCAGAGACGCGGCACTCCTGTGCGACTTCCTGATTCTCGTCCACGTCGATCTTGACAAAGCAAACATGCGGGTACTTGCCGGCAAGGGCCTCGAAGATGGGCGCAATCATCTTGCACGGCCCGCACCACGACGCCGTGAAGTCGACGACCACAGCCTGGTTCTTTGCAGCCGCGTCAGCCAGCAGGGCGTGCCACTCCTCGGTAGTGGCGATGCTCCTCATCTTGGCTGATCAGCGTCGGGACCTGTATGGGTGAGAGTGCAGAACGGCGAGAAAACGCGTAAATTGGCCTCCAGTCGACTCCAGCCAGGGCCATACCCCCCCCCCCCCCCTCTCGCCCCACCGCCGGCCGCCTTCTCTAATGGATGGCCACTGAAAAAATGAAAAATGACATGTAGGCGGAGGCGGCCGAGGCGGCCCGTAAGGCGGCGGAGCTCGCCGCGAGAAACGCCAATGGTCTTGAGCTGTGGAAAGCCGACCGCAGCACCGCCGGCGCCGTTGTCGCGTTGCGAGACTCGGCGCTTGGCTACTGCTGGTGCTTCGTTCCCGCCGCTGCCGGTAGCTCACGCCAAGCTGATGCACCTTCAGCCAGCTGCTGTCCCCGACTTTTAAAGTTACCAAAAGGAGCGCTACAGCAGTACATACATCGTGGGGTACCCCGTGTTCACGCGTCTCTCACGGATAACGCCGCAGGTCCCACACTAGTAGGTAGGTAGGTAGAAAGGTGAAGAACAGCCAGGCTCGGACTGGACACCAACGCGGTATGGGTGGACGCTGGACAGATGATGACGACACGCACGAGCGACACACAGACAAACAAAGGCGCGGGATGCGCACGTCAAGAACAACCCGTCCCTCGGAGACAGCGCCGTCAACAACCGCGAAGCCGCACGCTTCGTCTCCGCCTCAACGCCTTTCGCCGGCAAGGCCTTCGATGTCCGTGTCGACGGTACGTACGCCACCGCCCTCTCCTCCGACACCCTCCAGGACGAGCTCCAGCGAAAGCTCGGCCTTTGGCTCTCCGCGGCGCTTCCCACCCTTCGGGTCGCGCTCGAGCGGGGCATGCCAGTCGATTTCTTCGGCGACTACCTTTACAACAAGGCCCACCACCGGCGGCCCCACGACGGCGTCCTCGCCGCCTGGGCGGACGCGATGCGCGCCCCGGCCAACGCGCCGGTCGTGCACGGTGACAAGGAGAAACCAGAGCTCACCCGGCAGTACAACGAGGGGTACAAGGTCGACCTTGCGGAACCCCACGCTGGCCCGGGAGGGTGCGATGACGTGAATGAAGTCAAGCTCTGGACGCCCCTCCTCAAGACCTCCTCGCCGGGCGTTGGCAACGCCTCGAGTGGCGGCACGCCCGCCTCCGTTGGCCACTCCTACGCCTTTGGTAACACCGAAGAGAAGGCCCGCCGCCTAAACATGGGCTGCAAGGCGCGCGGGCAGCCCGGCCAACCCTTCTCCCACAAGACCGGCCACGGCTACGTCAAGGCGCATCGCGGTTTCTACCACGACGCGATCTTTGTCAAGCGCAACAACTTCAACCTGCTGCTCCACGAGACGTTCGGCGGCGGCTTCTCGCCCACCGCCGTTCTCAAGCTGCGCCGCCTCGCGCGCAAAGTCGCGCGCGGCAGCGTCGACCGCACGGCCTACTCGCCCAAGTACTCGCTCTCTTTTATGTCCCACCATGCAGAGCGCATCTCTCTCTCTGTTGTGCGAGGCGTGAACCGCGCCATTCGCTCTCACCTGGCAACCCTGTCTGCACGTCTCGCGCGCGCGTGAACAGTGCTCCAGGCCCCAAATGACGTGTGAGTGTTAGATTTGTTTGGTATTGCTAAAAATCTCTCTCACACAGACACAAACAAGCTCACAAGACACACACAGCCAGCTGGCTGCCACACACCCTGAGTTGGCGTACACATAACTCAAGGCCACACCCTCCCTGTCGCCCCCCCCAGCACTCCAAGGTGCCAAGAGAAACAAACAAGGGCACACTAGTACCGTATAAGGAGCTGCGCAGTATTTTTCTGCGACAAGGACGTACGCCGAATCGAGCCGCGCGCCGAGCAAGGAGACATCGCGCAACAGCGCTGTGCGCCATGGACAAGACGACGGTCGGGCGGCTCTCGAACAAGTAGCAGCGCGCGCCCCTGCCCCCGCCCTCCCCTCTCCGCTCCTCTCCAGCAGCGCGCGCGCCCGGCCGCAGGTACGGCGACGACGGCTGGCCTGGCAAGACATCTCCGTACCCGTGGCCGATCGTCGTGCTCAACCAGTTTATTCGCGAGCCGAGCTACTACATCGTCGGCTTCGTCTGGAAGCTGCGCGGGTGCTGCCGGAGCAAGAAGTCGAAGCCGCCGGTCCTCACGAACGAGCCCAAGCAGATCTCGTCGTCGTCAAAGACGGTGCTCTTCATCCGGCACGGGCAGGGCGACCACAACGCGAGCCTACCCGGCTGGAACCTGGTCGACCCGCCGCTCAACGCGACCGGCCTCGGGCAGGCGAGGGACCTGCACGAGCGGCTGGGCGGCACGAGCGGCCCGCTCAAGGACGTCGAGGTCGTGCTCGTCTCGCCGCTCACGCGCGCCTTCCAGACCGCCCAGGGCGCGTTCGGGCACGGGCCGGCGTTTCAGAACCGGGAGCCGACGCTCAAGCCAAAGTGGGTCGTCTGCCCGCTGCTCCGCGAGCGGATGGGCGCGCCCTGCGACGAGGGGCGCCCAAAGGCGCAGCTGGCGATGACGATGCCCGAGATGAAGGAGATGGAGGGGTTCGACACGATGAAGCCGGATGTCTGGTGGACGCCGCACTTTGAGTTCGGGCTGTACGACCGCATCGCCGAGCTCGAGGAGCAGGCGCGGGGCGCCGCGCCTCTCGCCTCTCGCACCGCACCGCTCACCGCCCCTCTCGCCGCCTCACTGCCCCGCTCGCCTCCTCACCGCTCCTCTCGGCCCGCTTGCCCGCCTGCAGATCCTCTCGCGCCCCGAGTCGACGATCGCCGTGGTCGGGCACGGCGGCCTCTTCACGCGCATCCTGGGCTACCACCTCCACAACTGCGGCCACCAGTGGACCTCGTGGGATGCGGACTAAGCGCCGCCCAGCGCTGCGGCGACCCCAGCAGCGCTCGGAGCCGTGGGCTGCGGAGCGAGCTGGGGCTGCGGTCCGAGGGCGGCCACGGCCCACCGCGACCGGTGGGAGCTCTCGCCGGTCGATATTGTGCGTGCGCCATTATTGCCTGCAGGGCGTTTCACAGCTGCCTCGCCGACGCAGTGCCGCCGCGTGCCCCGTGTGCCCCGTCCACACTGTCACTGGTCACTGTCGATAGAAACCCCTGTGTGTCTTGTTGATTAAGGTCAGTTCTAAAAGAAAGCACTTGGAGCACTTGGAGAGCAGTCATTAGCCTCACATCCAGGGCCGGGAGCTAAGCGCTGGCACCCAGCGGGCCGGATGTACCCGCTAGAGCTGTTTAACATTATCATTAACTTTGGGCCTAAAAAACGCAGTTCTCAGTTGCGCTAGTGTTGGCTGAAATCCTTAACGTTGTTCAAGTGTTCACCCCAGCCCATGCTGTTACTGTTTGTTACTGTTTGTTACTGTTGTTACTGTTGTTCAGCGGCCAGCAAGCAGAAAATGGCAAAAACCCCGGGTAAAACCCGAAAATACCTGGGGTTTCCCGGGTATTGCTTCGGGTATTACCCGCACTGGACGCTGGAGAACGTCGTGGGTCACTGCCAGGCCTTCCTTATTGTTGTTCAGCCGGCCTAACGTTAGCTACTGTTGTTGGGGAGCCCCACTGTTGTTCTGTTGTTACTGTTAACACTAGCAACACTGTTCAGCTCCCAACGTTAAACAGCTCTACTTTCTCACCATCAGCGTGTGCGCGCTAGTACCCGCAACCCGGATCGCGGATGAAAAAGAAAGAGAAAACCGACAAACCAAACAAGGGGTGGGAGGAGGACAAGATCCCCACCTGCACGAGCAGGATTTTGGAAGGACGATCAGGGACACAGGGGAACGGGAGCGGGGAGCGCATCGCGACACGGTCACGGAGGGGGGCTGGGCCGCAGCGGCGCAGGGTTCACCCACACGACAGGGTCCCAGGGATTCCCCTCTCGTATAGGACAAAGTCGCACCCGGCGGCACGGGGGCAGGCACGGGCCTCCTACTGGTTGCGCTCCGCTCTCCTAGTTCTCCTGCTCCTTGACAAGGGACAGCGACAGGGAAGCACTTGGAGCACTTGGAGTGCAGTCATTAACCTCACATCCAGGGCCGGGGAGCTGAGAAGCGCACCCAGCGAGCCGGATGATCGGCATCGGGCTACGGGCTAGAGAGCCCTGACCCCTAGCTAGGGGGGGTGCGCATTCGCAGGGCAAGGGCTGTAAAGTAAACACGGGTCTCCGAGAGGGCTCCGTGTACCGGGTTTCCCCTTAACTGCAGAACGCCCCCTCTACTCGGAGCTAGTGGACACGGACACTACGACACCACCCGTCACGTACACACACGACTGTCTAACGTGTAAACCGCCCGGCCTCGTCCCCCACCCTTCAGGGTGAATCTTCAGTCTGGTTCGGTCTCTTGCTCGCCTTTCGGGCGTCGCTCCACTGCCTCTGCAGTCGTTTCTGATGTCTCTTCCTCGGGGGCGGTCCCTCCGCCCCACCTCCGTCGGCCAGCCCTATTGGCCCCGAGGGAGCCGACAGCCCGGGTGGAGCCTCCCCGGGCGGGAGTGGCGGCATTGTGTCTCGTCGCCACCCCTCCCCGGGAGGTCACCGGCTGGCGGCGCCCGCTGCCAGCCGCGAAATCTGAGGTCGCCCCGCCCGCCTGCGCCCCCGCGACGGCCCCGCAGCGGCCGGGCCGGCTGCCTTGGTGGGCGGGGCACCTCCCGCTGCCGCGTCGCGGCCGCGGACGCGCTCGGAAGCACACCGCGGGCCTCTGCCGCGCGCCTCGAAAGCGTCGCCGCTCTCGACGCGCGGAAGAGCCGGTCCCATGCGTCGGTCCGAGCGTCACGCACCCCCGTGCTCGGTCGCAGGCACCTACTCGACGGTCGACGAGCTCGCCGGCATGTCGCCCGCGCGATACGCCACTCCTGATCCCGATGACGACGGCTACGACGAGGACGTGCCCGCGCCGGCACCCCCTGCCGCCGACGACGATGCCGCGCCGGCCGACGAGCCTGTGGTCGGCGACGCCGACGGCGGCGGCGGCGGCGGCACGGGCAAGGCGCGGCGCTGGGCCAAGGTCTTGCCCGACCCGTCGTGCTGCCCCGCGCTCCCGCTGCTGCTGCTCGCGCTCATCGGCACGGTCGCCTCCGCGCTTGCCTTCGCGCGTCCGCCCGCGGCGCTGCTGCAGTGTGCACCAGACACGATCGCGGTGACGCGTTCGATCGAGGCCGGCGCCGCGACGCGGCCGGGAGATGGCTGGTTCGGGTCGTGGGGACGGCACACCCACACGGACATGATGCACTGCGTTCCGAAAGAGTGCGCCCTCGCCCGTGCCCTCGCCCTACCGCGGCGCCCTGCCCCACTTGCGGCGGGCCCCGCTTTTGCGCTTTTCCGCGGCGGCGGCGGGTGCAGGTCAGCTAGTTCAGCACCCGCCCTCTCTCGCCTCTCAGGCACTCGCCAGAGGCCGCCGAGGCGGCGACTCGCTCTCACAAGCTCGGCCTCGAGGCGGCGGAGGCGGCGGCGGCCGCGCAGCAGCAGCTGGTCGATTCTCTGGGCGCCGTTTCGGAGCGGCTGGCCCACAGCGGCGTGTCGTCCGACATCTCCTTCACCGACGGGCGGCTCACCTTCAAGACGACGCTGGCATCCTCGGGAGCCGCGCCGCGCCTCGGTGTGCCGCGCAGCGCCGACCCGAACGGTGCCCACACTACACGACCGCCTGACGTGGCCCGGCCTCACCCCCTGCAGGCGAGTGCCGACCGGTCCGCGACCCGGCCGACGTCACCGCGCTTGGCGACGCCCTGGCGTGTGTGCGTCGGCACCGAAAGCTGCCGGCCGCAAAGCGGTTGGAGACAGCCGCCATTCTGGTGCTGGTGGACTCGACGCCAGGCGACGACCTGCTCAGCAGCGTCGACTGGCCCGCGGCGGGCTTCGAGTTCCTGACCCTCGCCGAAAAGAGCGACGACGTGCTCGCCCGAGAGGTGCAGGCGCTGCTGCGCTGAGGCGCCAGCCGGCGCTGGAGAGGGCGGCGAGGGAGGGTGGTCCTCGCGCGCCGCTTCTGCACTCGTGCAGTTGCGGCGGCAGGCGGGGCGTGAAGCCCGGGCTGCCGACAGTACTTTGTATGTACGGTGGGACTGAGTAGAGAGAGTAGCAGCTGTAGCTAGCAGAGGAAGGGGCACGACGGGCAGAAAGGGCAAAGGCATGAGAGGCGATCGTCGCGGCAGTGGTCCGGCAGAGAGAGATGCGCGCGTTTCATGTGAGACGCAGAAAGGCGGCGACCGTGCGCCGCAGAAGAAACGACCACCGACACACGACACCTCGACAGAAACAAAGAGAGAGCCATCCCGACTCACGCACATCTCTCATCTGTCGCGGGAAGCTGCTTATGCCTTCGCGAGTTACAGAGATGCACTCCGATGAGCACACCTGCGCTCGGGCGGCGGCTGGATGAGGACGAGTGCCATTGCGGGACGAAAGCCCGAACACCAAAGTCCAGCATCTGCCGGAAGCCTACAGCAAACAGAGTCTCCGTCACGAGGTGCAGTGACGTCGGTGGCGTGCGAGACGACGCTAGGACATATCAGAGGTCGCGGGTGGGTGTGAGGAGCTCTGGCTCGCATAACAGTGCGGCAATATCTCGGCGAATGGAGGTGAAGCATTCGCCGGAATGGCTCATCTCTGTCGACGCGCCGGGACGCTACGGGCGCCCGGTTGTTTCTTTGCAGGCGAGTCGGCGCGTGTAGGCGGCTTGGAAGACTGGCTGACTACGGTGAGCGCGGCTGATGCACGGAGATGGGATGGAGAGAGAGAGAGACGGTGCGACGAAGGCATCCGTGGGAGGACATCGGCGTAACCTCTCGAAAGCAAGGGACGGTCACAAAAGAATTTTACGATCACAGGCCGCGCTCTATCGGCGCCGTCTTCTGTCGCAAGAACAACCAGGTGTGTGTGCATGACATACACACGCGTCTCGCTCGCTCGGCGGTCGGCGTCTCGCTTTGCGCGGCAAGCTCACAAACAACACCTAGAGAGACTAGTCGCTCCCTCCCTCTTCGAGCATATCCTCTTCGAGCATATCACTGCGGAGCATTTCATCCACCAGCTGGGTCGCATCCTTGGCAGCTTGCATCTCTTGCGGGGTAAGCGCAGTGCCTGAGCAAAAAAGATAGAAGCTACGTGAGTCCGTGACTGTGATGGCTCGATGCGGCTTTTGTGATGGCGATGCGTGCCTGGCTGCGCTGCTGCGCCCAGTGCCGCGCCCAGCGAGATAGCAGCTGGGTGTAGCGTGGCGCCCGTCGTCTCGTCGAAATGATCTGATCGCTCGCGTGCCTCACGCTCCGCCTCCCGCGCCTCTTGCTCCTCCTGCTCCTCCTGCTCCTCCTCGCTGAGCCGCTGGCTGTCTGCACCCTCCTCCTCCTCCTCCTCCTCCGGGTCCTCGCCCTCTCCCTCACCGCCGCCCGCTGATGCGCCGCCGCCCGCCCCCGGTGCCGCAGCGCACGAGCGCATCTTGGTTGTGGTTGCCGAGGCAAAGCCGGGCCGGAAGGCGGCGGCATAGGGGCACGGGCCAGGGTGCGTGTCCGCGGGGCACAACCAACCACCTCTCACGGAGGGAGTAGGCGGTCGCCACTCAAAGCGGCGGTGGTGAGAGCCGCCGCCCGGCGACCGACACTCTCGCGCGCGATTAATGATGCAGAGCGCGAGCTCCAGCTCGTGCTGGCCGTGCGAGTCCCGCTCGCGGCCATGCCTGGCCTTTGCGACGGTGTAGAGCGCAGCCAGCGGGAAGGCCCGGAGCTCGGCGACCTGCGAGAGGTATGCGGAAACAAGCAGGTCCTCGTGTGGAAAAGCGGCCAGTCCGTGCCCGCGCAGGTGCTGCCGCTTCAATTGGCGAAGCAGCCCATTGAGTTCCTCGAGTGGCCCCTCATCAAAGGGCGGCTCGCCTCGCCGCACGCGTCTCGAGATGAGCTCGTAACACGAGCGGCAAGATCGGGTGAACCATCGATTCTTGACGTACTTTCCCACCTTTGCGTCACCCGGAAAGTACGCAAACATGACGCCCTCGGCAGCATCCCAAAGCCCTGTCGCAAGCGTGAAGAGCTCTCGTCGCCTCGAGCCGTCCGTGACGCCCCAGAGGTGAAACTGCGCCCGCCACGAGCCCATTCGCACAAACTTTCGAAGGAGGTACAGGGACGAGATCACGTCCTCAAAGGCTAGCTGCTCTGGCAGTGGGAGGTGCGCCAGCAGCGACGGCAGCATGCGGTATAAGACTTCGATCTGGGAGCCGCGGCAGCGAGCGAGGGATGGCACGGAGGCCGTCGGGCCGATGGCGCCCTTGCGCGCATGGCAGTTTGGCCCAGCGTTGTTGATGTCCTGGACGAGGGGGTTGACTACGGTGGATCCAATGGACCACGCCTCAAGGACCATTTTGTCAATCGCTGTCTTGATGCAGTTCATCCAGGCGTGCATGGAGCCGTGCTCGACATTGTCGAGCGCGATGCCTCGCCCACGCTTGTGCCCTCCTTGTGTGACCTCGAGCGCGGCGCGGTCAGGCGGGGAGTACTGCAGGAGGGCGGCAGCGCGGCGAAGCGCCTGGACGACAGCGGCTGGCGAGGCGTCGGCCCGTGCAGCGCTCACTACGTCAGCAAAGGCGGCAAAGTGCGAGCGAGAGCTCAAGCGCGTCTGCTGCTGACGGAGGTAGCAGCCGTCACCACGGTGAGCATCGGTGTTGAGCTGACGGAGGGCCGCGATGCTGGCGGTGGCGCTGGCGCCAGTAATCTGCACTGAGCTAACCCTGCCTCCCCACCTCTGGTCGAGAATGTTTGCAAAGTTAAGGTGGCGGAGTGGATCCCGAATCGCGACGTCGGTTGGCAGGTTGACGAGGTAGCTGGTGCTGGCTACGGTATCTGCCAAGGTTTGCGCGGTTGGGGGTGGCTGCACAAGATCGCACTTGCCTTGAGCCAGTTCGTTCTCAAACCTCGTAGGGACAGCAGCATCGAGCCTGATGCTCGCCAGTGGCTCGGGGAGAGGCCCGCACAAAAGGTCGCCTCCGTCCCACGGGCAGAGGTGCTCGTAGGGGTGGCGCTCCTCACCAAACGGGGGGTTCTGCGCGTACATATCGACGTAGCCATCGGCAAAGATAGCATCAAAGTGCCTGATGCCGTCTTGCAGTGTGCTGCGCTCCAGGCAATAGGCGCTCAGCTGGTTCCCCTCCCGCCCGTCCCCTTGCCACACCTGGTTGAGCCTGAGCGCGGAAAATGTGGCCTCCTCGTCGCTCGCCGCCACAGCGCTCACTTTGGAGAGGTGCTGGCCACTCGGGCACTTCACCTGTGTGCACGAGACTGCGTGATGAGCCGAGATAAACCGGAGTACCCGAGATCGCCCGAGATCGCCCGAGATTGCCCGAGATTGCCCGAGATTACCCGAGATTACCCGAGATTACCCCGAGATTACCCGAGACTGCTTGACTACCCTAGATTACCCGAGACTGCCTGACTACCTGAGATTACTCGAGATTACCCGAGATTACCCGGACTGCCCGAGACTAGGTGTTACCCGAGATTATCCGAGATTATCCGAGACTGCCTATGAGCCGAGGAGTGCGACACTGCAGTGCATCTCGAATAGACTAGGCTCTCGCCATGATTGACGTGGCCGTGATGTCCGTCGAGGGGCCGTCCAGGAGCAGCCAGTCGCGCAGGTTGCGGGGCTGCGACTTAACCTTCTTGTATCTCACGTAGGGCGCGACGCTCGAATCCACAGGGCCGAGCTGTATGTTCTGAACGAAGCGCGTGATGGTCTGAACGCGCTGCCCAGGCTGACTCGCCTCTTGCCCCGGCATAAGCTCGACTCGTGCCTCGTCGCCATCGATGGATCGAAGCACCATGTGGAAGAGCCCGTCTGCTCTGGCTGAGCGCACGCCATCAATGGCCTGGAGCAGCGCTAAGCCGGCGACGGGCCCCTCCTCCTTAGCCCCACCCTTATACAACCGCAAGTTGCTCGCAATCTCGGCGCCGCCGCAGACGAGGCTGCCACTTGGGCTGTCACCGCCCGTGACAAAGGCGCCGGGCGATCCATAGCCAATCAGCACCGTCCACTTCGGGGTGACTGCGGCGAGTGCCTTTGATCGCCCTTGCCCTTCAAAGACGAAAGTCTGCTCCACGCCGCTGAGGCGCATCGTCACCTCCGTCGGCTCGCGGAGCCCAGCCCACGCTGCGTGCTCGCCTGGCTGGACTGCTCGTGGCAGCCCCCCGCCCACCACTGTCAGGTGGAGCTCGTCGTTGACTGTGAGGCCACCAACCTCAACCTGCACGGCGGTTTGAGGATCGGCACCGAGCAGCAGCGTTGCCGTCGTTGCTCGAGGCGTGCGCACGTGGCCCACACCGTCCGGCCTGAGGGAGAGGGCCTTGCCGAAGCCGGAGCATTCATCTGCGACACCCGCCGTACGCGCGCCCTGCGGCCCCCGCAGCTGGAGAATGAGAGACGGCGCGCCCTCCGGCTGCACCCGCCCAGCAGTTGCTCCGCTCGCGCCGTTGAAGAAGCGGCCCGTCGCGTCGCAGCCCGAGGCGCTAATGCGATCGAGGGCCTCGAGGTACTGTGCGCGCACACCCTCGATCGCGGAAGCGCATTCTGCTAGCTGCGCGGCAGCACCCCCAACGTGCGGACGAGTCCGCGAAGAAGAGGTGTGGCCCGCAGCGCCAGTCTTGCGCAGCCGGTCGACGGCCATAACCAGGAGATCGATCGAGGACGCGAGTCGGCCACTCGTGTGCTCTGTGTTGGCGACGGTGTAAGCGGGGGGAGGAGAAGGCGTCCCCACCACGACCGCCACCGCCGCTGCAACATTTGCAACGACATCTGCCGCCGCTCCTATCGCTCCCAGCACGCCGCCGGGCTCCTCGCTATCGTCCTCATCGTCCTGTTGTTGCAGCGGCGGGTCCTCGCGGGGCACGGTTGCGGCGCGAGCCGCATCGGCGGCGCTCAGCACGTTGGCACGAAAGGTTCGAATGGC